GGGCATGGGGCATGGGGCATGGGGCATGGGGCATGGGGCATTGGCCATGGGGCATGGGACATGGGGCATTAAGCATCGGGCATGGGGGATGGGGCATCGGGCATTGGGCTTGGGGCATGGGGCATGGGGCATGGGGCATGGGGCATGGGGGATGGGGCATCGGGCATTGGGCTTGGGGCATGGGGCATGGGGCATGGGGCATGGGGCATGGGGCATGGGGCATGGGGCATGGGGCATGGGGCACGGGGCATGGGGCATGGGGCATGGGGCACGGGGCATGGGGCACGGGGCATGGGGCACGGGGCATGGGCATGGGGCACGGGGCAGGGGGCACGGGGCATGGGGCACGGGGCATGGGGCACGGGGCATGGGGCATGGGGCACGGGGCATGGGGCACGGGGCATGGGGCATGGGGCACGGGGCATGGGGCATGGGGCACGGGGCATGGGGCATGGGGCACGGGGCATGGGGCATGGGGCACGGGGCATGGGGCATGGGGCACGGGGCATGGGGCACGGGGCATGGGGCATGGGGCATGGGGCACGGGGCATGGGGCATGGGGCATGGGCATGGGGCATGGGGCATGGGGCATGGGGCATGGGGCATGGGGCATGGGGCATGGGGCATGGGGCATGGGGCATGGGGCATGGGGCATGGGGCACGGGGCATGGGGCATGGGGCACGGGGCATGGGGCACGGGGCATGGGGCATGGGGCATGGGGCACGGGGCATGGGGCATGGGGCACGGGGCATGGGGCATGGGGCATGGGGCATGGGGCACGGGGCATGGGCATGGGGCACGGGGCATGGGGCATGGGGCACGGGGCATGGGGCATGGGGCACGGGGCATGGGGCACGGGGCATGGGGCATGGGGCACGGGGCATGGGGCACGGGGCATGGGGCATGGGGCACGGGGCATGGGGCACGGGGCATGGGGCATGGGGCACGGGGCATGGGGCATGGGGCATGGGGTATGGGGCACGGGGCATGGGGCATGGGGCACGGGGCATGGGGCATGGGGCACGGGGCATGGGGCATGGGGCACGGGGCATGGGGCACGGGGCATGGGGCATGGGGCATGGGGCACGGGGCATGGGGCACGGGGCATGGGGCACGGGGCATGGGGCACGGGGCACGGGGCACGGGGCATGGGGCACGGGGCATGGGGCATGGGGCACGGGGCATGGGGCACGGGGCATGGGGCATGGGGCATGGGGCACGGGGCATGGGGCACGGGGCATGGGGCATGGGGCACGGGGCATGGGGCATGGGCACGGGGCATGGGGCATGGGGCACGGGGCATGGGGCATGGGGCATGGGGCATGGGGCATGGGGCATGGGGCATGGGGCATGGGGCATGGGGCATGGGGCATGGGGCATGGGGCATGGGGCATGGGGCATGGGGCATGGGGCATGGGGCATGGGGCACGGGGCATGGGGCATGGGGCATGGGGCATGGGGCATGGGGCATGGGGCATGGGGCATGGGGCATGGGGCATGGGGCACGGGGCATGGGGCATGGGGCATGGGGCATGGGGCATGGGGCACGGGGCATGGGGCACGGGGCATGGGGCATGGGGCATGGGGCATGGGGCATGGGGCATGGGGCACGGGGCATGGGGCACGGGGCATGGGGCATGGGGCATGGGGCATGGGGCATGGGGCATGGGGCATGGGGCATGGGGCATGGGGCATGGGGCATGGGGCATGGGGCATGGGGCATGGGGCATGGGGCATGGGGCATGGGGCATGGGGCATGGGGCATGGGGCATGGGGCACGTGGGGCACGGGGCATGGGGCATGGGGCATGGGGCATGGGGCACGGGGCATGGGGCACGGGGCATGGGGCATGGGGCATGGGGCACGGGGCATGGGGCATGGGGCATGGGGCATGGGGCACGGGGCATGGGGCATGGGGCACGGGGCATGGGGCACGGGGCATGGGGCATGGGGCACGGGGCATGGGGCACGGGGCATGGGGCATGGGGCACGGGGCATGGGGCATGGGGCACGGGGCATGGGGCATGGGGCATGGGGCATGGGGCACGGGGCATGGGGCATGGGGCACGGGGCATGGGGCATGGGGCACGGGGCATGGGGCATGGGGCACGGGGCATGGGGCACGGGGCATGGGGCATGGGGCATGGGGCACGGGGCATGGGGCACGGGGCATGGGGCACGGGGCATGGGGCACGGGGCACGGGGCATGGGGCATGGGGCATGGGGCATGGGGCATGGGGCATGGGGCATGGGGCATGGGGCATTGGCCATGGGGCATGGGACATGGGGCATTAAGCATCGGGCATGGGGGATGGGGCATCGGGCATTGGGCTTGGGGCATGGGGCATGGGGCATGGGGCATGGGGGATGGGGCATCGGGCATTGGGCTTGGGGCATGGGGCATGGGGCATGGGGCATGGGGCATGGGGCATGGGGCATGGGGCATGGGGCATGGGGCATGGGGCACGGGGCATGGGGCATGGGGCATGGGGCACGGGGCATGGGGCACGGGGCATGGGGCACGGGGCATGGGGCATGGGGCACGGGGCATGGGGCACGGGGCATGGGGCACGGGGCATGGGGCACGGGGCATGGGGCACGGGGCATGGGGCATGGGGCATGGGGCACGGGGCATGGGGCATGGGGCACGGGGCATGGGGCATGGGGCATGGGGCATGGGGCACGGGGCATGGGGCATGGGGCACGGGGCATGGGGCATGGGGCACGGGGCATGGGGCCATGGGGCACGGGGCATGGGGCACGGGGCATGGGGCATGGGGCACGGGGCATGGGGCACGGGGCATGGGGCATGGGGCACGGGGCATGGGGCACGGGGCATGGGGCATGGGGCACGGGGCATGGGGCATGGGGCATGGGGCATGGGGCACGGGGCACGGGGCATGGGGCACGGGGCACGGGGCATGGGGCATGGGGCACGGGGCATGGGGCATGGGGCATGGGGCACGGGGCACGGGGCATGGGGCATGGGGCATGGGGCACGGGGCATGGGGCATGGGGCATGGGGCACGGGGCATGGGGCACGGGGCACGGGGCATGGGGCATGGGGCACGGGGCACGGGGCATGGGGCACGGGGCATGGGGCACGGGGCATGGGGCACGGGGCATGGGGCATGGGGCACGGGGCACGGGGCAGGGGGCATGGGGCACGGGGCATGGGGCATGGGGCACGGGGCATGGGGCATGGGGCATGGGGCACGGGGCACGGGGCACGGGGCATGGGGCATGGGGCATGGGGCATGGGGCATGGGGCACGGGGCATGGGGCATGGGGCACGGGGCATCGGGCATGGGGCACGGGGCATGGGGCATGGGGCACGGGGCATGGGGCACGGGGCATGGGGCATGGGGCATGGGGCACGGGGCATGGGGCACGGGGCATGGGGCACGGGGCATGGGGCATGGGGCACGGGGCACGGGGCATGGGGCATGGGGCATGGGGCATGGGGCATGGGGCATGGGGCATTGGCCATGGGGCATGGGACATGGGGCATTAAGCATCGGGCATGGGGGATGGGGCATCGGGCATTGGGCTTGGGGCATGGGGCATGGGGCATGGGGCATGGGGCACGGGGCACGGGGCATGGGGCATGGGGCATGGGGCACGGGGCATGGGGCACGGGGCATGGGGCACGGGGCATGGGGCATGGGGCACGGGGCATGGGGCACGGGGCACGGGGCACGGGGCATGGGGCATGGGGCACGGGGCATGGGGCACGGGGCATGGGGCATGGGGCACGGGGCATGGGGCATGGGGCACGGGGCATGGGGCATGGGGCATGGGGCATGGGGCACGGGGCATGGGGCATGGGGCACGGGGCATGGGGCATGGGGCACGGGGCATGGGGCATGGGGCACGGGGCATGGGGCACGGGGCATGGGGCATGGGGCACGGGGCACGGGGCATGGGGCATGGGGCATGGGGCACGGGGCATGGGGCATGGGGCATGGGGCATGGGGCATGGGGCACGGGGCACGGGGCACGGGGCACGGGGCATGGGGCATGGGGCACGGGGCACGGGGCATGGGGCATGGGGCATGGGGCACGGGGCACGGGGCATGGGGCATGGGGCATGGGGCACGGGGCATGGGGCATGGGGCATGGGGCATGGGGCACGGGGCACGGGGCATGGGGCACGGGGCATGGGGCACGGGGCATGGGGCACGGGGCATGGGGCACGGGGCATGGGGCATGGGGCATGGGGCACGGGGCATGGGGCACGGGGCATGGGGCATGGGGCACGGGGCATGGGGCACGGGGCATGGGGCATGGGGCACGGGGCATGGGGCATGGGGCATGGGGCATGGGGCATGGGGCATGGGGCATGGGGCATGGGGCATGGGGCATGGGGCATGGGGCATGGGGCATGGGGCATGGGGCATGGGGCACGGGGCATGGGGCATGGGGCATGGGGCATGGGGCATGGGGCATGGGGCATGGGGCATGGGGCATGGGGCATGGGGCACGGGGCATGGGGCATGGGGCATGGGGCATGGGGCATGGGGCATGGGGCACGGGGCATGGGGCACGGGGCATGGGGCATGGGGCATGGGGCATGGGGCATGGGGCATGGGGCACGGGGCATGGGGCACGGGGCATGGGGCATGGGGCATGGGGCATGGGGCATGGGGCACGGGGCATGGGGCACGGGGCATGGGGCACGGGGCATGGGGCATGGGGCATGGGGCATGGGGCATGGGGCATGGGGCATGGGGCATGGGGCATGGGGCATGGGGCATGGTGAGTTGTGCAAGGAAAGATGGGCGGGGTGATGAGTGGGGGAGAAGCTGTGGTGGTATGGCACTGCCATGAGCTGTGGTGGTATGGCACTGCCATGAGCTGTGGTGGTATGGCACTGCCATGAGCTGTGGTGGTATGGCACTGCCATGAGCAGAGCAGAGCAGGGGATGTGCGTGAGGCGTGTGACATGCATGAGTGAGTTGAGAGGCGGGTGGCATGGCGGGCAGGCAGGGCGACATGCCTCGTTGAGGATGGGGTTGAAGACGACCCCCACCACCACGGCCTTGTTGATGGCCAGCCCGATGGACACACACACGAATGGATACCTGCTCCCGCCACGCAGGCTCCATGCACGCATGGTGTGGGGCACAGGGGGCAGGGCATGTAGGCCAAGACGCAGAGAGGGGGGTAGATATGAATGAAGCAAAGGAGGTGATGAGATAAGGTTGAGAAGGAGAGATGATGCCGGCTGCCCATCTCCACAGGTGCAGGTTAGGGGCGCGGCAAGACTGCTGTTTGTGCCATTGCAGGGATGCATCCCCACCCCCACCGCCACCGCCATCCCCGCCGCCACCCCCACCCACCACCGCCACCCCCAGCGGCACCCCCAGCGGCACCCCCACCCCCACCCCCAGCGGCACCCCCAGCGGCACCCCCAGCAGCACCCCCAGCGGCACCCCCACCCCCACCCCCACCCCCACCCCCACCCCCACCCCCAGCGGCAGCGGCAGCGGCAGCGGCAGCGGCAGCGGCAGCGGCACACCCACCGGTGCACGAAGTTGGTGGTGCCGTCGAGGGGGTCCACCATCCACGTGGGGCCGTCCCCCAGCCCCGCCGTGCCACGCTCCGATGACTCCTCCTCTCCTATCAACTGATGGCGCACCGTGCCGTGCCGTGCAGTTGAGATGGACGGTAAAGCGCAGCATGTGGGGGACATTAGAGAAGGGGAGTCAATCAAGGAAGGAAGCAAATGACCTGCATGCTACGATACGACCATAAGCTCACCACGCTACAACCCAGAACCCATGCTGCAAGCTGGCAACCCAGCGAACCCAGCAGAGCCCTCGTGTTTCGGGTTCAATCACACGCTTGCCTTGTGGGAGGGATAAGCGGCTGAGATGTGCTGCATGATGAGTGCCTCGCATTGCTTGTCCGTTTCTGTGACCAGGTCGACCTAGATGCAGCACAGTGGGTGGCGGTAGGGAGGAGAGAGGAGGGAGGGAAAGGGAATGAGTGGGGACGGCACAATGTCACGATACAAACGTTCTTGCACAACGCCTGGATGAGTTTCTGCGATGCTGCTCATGTTTCTCAACTCCAACATCCCTCGTGAGGCAGTGCGCGGCAGCTTGAGAATCTGCAGCTCCAGGCGCAGGAGAATCTGCAGCTCCAGGCGCAGGAGAATCTGCAGCTCCAGGCGCAGGAGAATATGCAGCTCCAGGCGCAGGAGAATCTGCAGCTCCAGGCGCAGGAGAATCTGCAGCTCCAGGCGCAGGAGAATCTGCAGCTCCAGGCGCAGGAGAATCTGCAGCTCCAGGCGCAGGAGAATCTGCAGCTCCAGGCGCAGGAGAATCTGCAGCTCCAGGCGCAGGAGAATCTGCAGCTCCAGGCGCAGGAGAATCTGCAGCTCCAGGCGCAGGAGAATCTGCAGCTCCAGGCGCAGGAGAATCTGCAGCTCCAGGCGCAGGAGAATCTGCAGCTCCAGGCGCAGGAGAATCTGCAGCTCCAGGCGCAGGAGAATCTGCAGCTCCAGGCGCAGGAGAATCTGCAGCTCCAGACGCAGGAGAATCTGCAGCTCCAGGCGCAGGAAAATCTGCAGCTCCAGGCGCACTCACATGCCATGCTCCCACATCACATGCCATGCTCCCACATCACATGCCATGCTCCCACATCACATGCCATGCTCTCTCATCACATCACACCACATGCCATGCCATGCCTTCGCCGTTCAACGCGCCTCACCTTGCCCTTGTGCTGCACGTCCTTTGGTGCGTTGAAGCCGCGGCGAATCACCTGGTGACACGTGTGCACGCATCCACGGACGTATGGGTGGATGAATTGAGGGGATGGTATGATGGGGGATGGAAGGATGGAGGGGGATGGGAAGAGAGGAGAGGAAAGCGGAGGGGCGTGATGGGAAGTGAGAGGCGTGATGGGAAGTGAGAGGCGTGATGGGAAGTGAGAGGCGTGATGGGAAGTGAGGGGCGTGATGGGAAGTGAGGGGCGTGATGGGAAGTGAGAGGCGTGATGGGAAGTGAGAGGCGTGATGGGAAGTGAGAGGCGTTGGGATATGGCACGTGCGAGGGGCTGCGGGGTGCGTCAGGCGCTATGTGGCATGGTGCATGCACACGGGGTATGCACGCTCGGGGTATGCACACACGGGGGAGGACACACACACGCACGAGGCAATGCCACGCACCTCGCCCGCGTGGCGAGCGGCCGCGACAGCGACGTCCAGATACTCGCGCAGCTCCCGCTCTGCCCGCGCGCACCGCCCATGGCGCACAATCGCAATGGCGATGACACAGCACGGCGCGGCACGGCACGTGGGAATGCACAGAAGAGTCGGCACGCGTTGGCATCAGAGACAGCAGACGGCAAGACACGTGGAGAGAGACGGTCAGTCGTGCGAATCGATCAGCAAAGCCGATGATCGGCAGGATAATGATTAACGACACACATAGGTCGGTACGAAGGGTTAGCGGCAGGGCTAGCGGCAGGGCTAGCGGCAGGGCTAGGAGAGGTTTCGCGGCAGGGAGGGCGACAATGCGGAAACGCGCTACTCACCCGCGACAGCTACAGGCGTCGCCATGAGAGTCGCCTGGAGGAGCCGGCGACAGTCTGACGGGAGACGCGAGGCGAGAAGCGTTGCAGGGGCAGGAGATGCGAGGGCGGTGCGTGCGATTGATCGCTGATCAGGTGCAGGTCAGACGTGGTGCGTTCAAATGACCCGTATAACGAACACCGTTTTGGTGTCAAGCGTTAATGATTTGAACTGATGTAGCTACAGCAGCTGAATGCAATTTTTTATTCCACCAAGGAATATATTAACTTCTATTATATATAATCTAAAACAGCTGAGAGAAATCTGCACAGCAGATGCAGCCTACAATGTTTTAATCCTAGCGAAACACGTGGGAGGTGGTGTGAGGACAGGACTCAATAGCCGTCGGGGTGCAGGCGGCGCCAGCGCCAGGCCATGGCGAGCGAGTCCTTGAGGTCCGTGTACTTGGCCTTCCAGCCGAGCTCACGGTAGATCTTAGAGGGGTCGCTGTACACCTCCGCGTAGTCCCCCGGCCGCCGCGCCTTCTGCTCCATCACCTTTATGGGCGCCCCCGTCACGTTCAGACACGCATTCACAAACTCCCGCACCGAGTACCCTGCTCAGACACGGTGGGGCAGGGCAGGGCAGGGCCAGGCAGGGCACGGCAGGGAGAGCGAGGGTGTTCCAGGAAGAAAGCGAGGAGGGAGGGCAGGGTTGCCATTAGCACTTATGCCAAGGATAGAAAAAAGCAGGATGGGACTCGTGGGAAGGAAACAGCAAAAGACAGCGTGGTGATGGTGGTGGTGAGCTAGCAGCATGGAGGGGCATGGGGTGGGCACCTTTGCCAGTGCCGACGTTGTAGATGTTAACAGTGCCGGGTGTGAGGTGGTGCATGGCGACCACGTGTGCATTGACGAGTTCCGTGACGTGGATGTAGTCGCGGATGCACGTGCCGTCCGCTGTGGGGTAGTCCGTGCCCATCACCTGCCGGGGGGCACAGCCAGCACAGCACACAGACACATGCTTCATGTGCACCCAACGAGGTGACTGTTGAGTCGACTCAGCCCATAGTGAACGGTGTGGGGTAGTGCAGGCGTATCACCGGGCATGCAGTGGGGATATGAATGGAGCCCGCTTGCTAGAGCGGCCTGGCATGCTGCGGCTCTCCCTCATGGGCGGTGAGCTGGGGGTTGTGTTGTGTGTGCCCACAACCAGCAGTGCAGCAGTGCAGCCGAGAGAGAGAGAGAGCAGAGAGCAGGCACATGCACCATGTGTGTGCACCCAATTCTACAGGCACATGCACCATGTGTGTGCACCCAATTCTACAGGCACATGCACCATGTGTGTGCACCCAATTCTACAGGCACATGCACCATGTGTGTGCACCCAATTCTACAGGCACATGCACCATGTGTGTGCACCCAATTCTACAGGCACATGCACCATGTGTGTGCACCCAATTCTACAGGCACATGCACCATGTGTGTGCACCCAATTCTACAGGCACTGGTGAGAGTGAGCCGCACAGCGTGTAGAGCACACGCAAGGATGACCTAACTTATAAAGCCAGCGACAGAGTAATCGCAGTAAGAGCTCGTATCGTGGTGTGCAGGGTGGGAGAGCAGCACGGGAGGAAGAGCAGCAGGGGGGAAAGCAGCACGGGAGGAAGAGCAGCAGGGGGCGGGGGCGAGGCGAGCGCACCTTGAGTCCGTCAATCTTGCCCATGGCGGCATCGAAGCACGCCCCTGTAATGCGCCCGTGGTGCCTCAGCTCCGGGCGAGGCGCCTCCCCCAGCCGCCCACTGGGGTCCGACCCTATCACGTTGAAGTACCTGGGGGAGGTGGGGGGGGTCAGGAGGGGAGGGGGGAGTGAGCAGGTGGGTGTGGGTGGCAGGGGAGAGGACGCCGAGGGCGGTGGAGTGAACGTGCGTGTGAGCGAGCGGAGGAGGGGGGTGTCCTACCAGGATACACTGAAGCGCATGCGGGTTCCATTGTGGGTGGGATGAGTGGCAGCAGAGGATATGGCAGGGAGGCTGCAAGGGAGATGCTAGGCACATGCAAGCAGGAGAGGCATGCATGACAACTGACAAGCAAGCGAGAGTTCTGTGAGAATGGGTAGGCATGCAAGGGACACGATCTGAGGATAGGTAGACACATGGCAGGTGACCGGAGGACGGAAAAACAGGTGCGGAGAGGTGCGGGGACCTGAGGATGGTGGCGGCGAGGCGGGGGTTGGCGCGCGCGTAGTCGAGGATGACGTCCTCCGCCATCTTCTTTGACTTGCCGTACGGGTTTATGGGCGCCTGGTGCCACGCACCGCACACGGCAGAGGGGGGGAGGAGGGTGTGATGGGAGGGTGTATGCCACATGCACGACAGAGGTGGAGAGAAGGGGGTGGAGGGTGGGGGGAGGGGCACTTCATGAGCGCACTGCACGCACACTACAGCGTCATGGGTGCTAGCCGCTCACAAGGCAGGCAGAGGGGAGGAAGAGGGGCGGCTTGTGAAGAGTGGGAGGGCAACTGTGTGCGTCACTGTGCTCTGGTGGCATTGGCGTACCATGGCCGACCCAGCGTGGTGGGTGATGGGCATGGTGGTGGGGTCACCTGCACAGTATCCTCAGTGATGGGCATGGTCTTGGGTTCGCCATACGTGGCGCACGTGCTGCTGTAGATGAGCTGTGTCACGCCGTGCCGCCCCATAACCTCCACCAGCGTCAGTGTGTTGGCCGTCACGTTGTGGTAGTACCTGTGCCGTGCATGCACGCATGCACCATGCCCCATGTCAAATAAGCAGGAGGAGAGCGAGATGAGTGTAATGGACGGCAGTTGCAGAGCCATGACCGCCAGCGGCCAGTGTGTGACGTGGTATGGGTCAAGTGCCAGCCCCCTACCGTACATCCCCTCCTGCCATTCTCTCCTCCACGCAGCCACCTCTCGCTCTGCAGAACTTGCTCCATCTCCCGTGCCAACAATGCTTGCGACTCACCTCCCCCATGTGCCATGCATGCACATGCCCCGCGCCCCATGTCACGTGAAAATAGGTCAGCACAACGGACGGGTGGGGGAGGGGGGAGGGAGGGATGGGGGTTTGGTGGGGGGGAATTGGGAGATGGGTGTGTTGGATGGCAATAGCGGTACCTGGACCCCCAGGGGCCAGTGTGAGAGGTGGGGCCAGTGTGAGAGGTGGGGCCAGTGTGAGAGGTGGATGTCAGTGATATGGCTGCCAACCTGTTCAAGTGCCACTCCCCATTCCATACGTCCCCTTTCCCTACAACCTCCCCTGCCATTCTCTACCACGCGACCACCTCTCTCGCCCCACAGGTCGCTCAATTCCCGCCCACCACACCCCCCATGCAGCTCACCTGAGCGGCTCCTGCATGCTCTCGCCCACATAAGCGACGGCAGCGAAGTGCATCACCACGTCGATGGCGTTGCTCGCAAACACCGCCTCTACCTGCCGCATAGACCCACCCACCCACCCCCCCCACACACACACAGGCACGCACGGCGCACAGCGGTGCTTCAAGTTCAAGGGGGCGGCGGTGCTTCCAGGGGAGGGGTCGGAGGAGCAGTATTGGAACAAGTAGAGGCGTGCAATAGAAACGGTGCATGGGAAGGAGCGCATGCCACGTGGCCATGTGCGCATGATGCATGGTAGGGCAGTGCGCGCATGCATGGGGGCAGCGGAGCAGACCTTGCGCGGGTCCCCCAGGTCCGCATTGATGAACTGCAGCCGCCCCTCCGGTGCTATGCGCTGCAGCACCTGCACCGCGCCCCAGTTGCCCCGCGATAGGTTGTCCTGCCGTGCACATGCGCACACATACGCGCAGACGTAGGCACAGGCGCAGGCATAGCCACAGGCACAGGCACAGGCACATGCACAGGCACATGCACAGGCACACATAGGCACACGCACGCACACACACATGCAGTGGGAAATGGGAGGAGAGTGGGGAGAGGGTGAGGAGGCGAAGAGGTGGCGCTGGAGTGGAGAGGGGCGCATGGGCGGGAGAAGGCGCAGGAGAGTTGCATGCGGCATACGAGAATCGTGACGCACGCTAAAGTGGACGTGACTCACAACAATGGTGACGCGGTGGCCGGACGTGAGGAGGTGCAGCGACGCGTGTGAGCCGATGAACCCCGCGCCGCCCGTCACCAGCACGTGCGTCACCCCCGCCTCGCGCACGCGGAACTGACGCACCGCCACACGCGCGCACCGACACGCACAGGCAGAGAGGGGGGGCACACAGGGAGGCGTGGGACACAGTTGGAACACGCGCACAGTTGGACGTAGCATGCGAGGAGTGAATGGGGGGAGGGGTGTGGTAGCGGGTACGGAACGGGATCGGACGCGAACCCCGCGATCAGCTCGACGCACTCTGGGAAACAAGTGAGCCTGCAGCGCCCCACCTGCATGGGAGTGGAATCTCTAGATTGGAGCACGAACATGCAGACCGCGACAAAGAGCGCCGCCAGCACCATCTTAACAGCAGATGATCTCTGCCGCCCCGTGGCCGCCGCCATGGGCGAGTCCATCCTGCGCCGCGCGCGACCGCGCCTCAGCCAGCCGTGCGCGGTGCGGCAAGGGGGGAGGTAAGGAGACGGAGTGCGGGATCGTGCGCTCGTTCGTGGGCTGCCGATGAATCCAATGGCGCCGCCGTGCACGCTAGCGACGACGACCACGGAAGGGCCAACGCGGAGAGAGAAGCTGAAGCCGGATTAGCAGGAGGGATTGGTGAATGAAGGCTGCACGCCACTGAGATGGCGGCTACTATGTGGTCACAGGGCTTCGGTCCCAAAAAAGCAGGGAGGGTCCTACTGAAGTGCTCTATGTGGTCCCAAAGAAACAGTGCCGGCTAATGCAAATCCCGTCGTCTCGTCAGTTGCGTTATCAGGCTCGGCTTGGACTCGCCGAGCCTGGAAGTCTACACGCTTGTAGACCAGCCATGAATGGGAGGGAGGGGTGTCAGTCGACGCCTCCAAGACTGAACCAGCCAATCAACGAACCGCGGGTACCAGAGCAACTGCATGTCAGCCCTATACAAGGATTCTCTGTAGTATTTACAATGTATGATGTGGTTGTTCACCATTTAGGAAAACAGATCTAAATGAGCAAGGGCTTAGGAAGACGCACCATGTTCATTAATTTATTTTCTAAGACGTTATAAAGTTTGAGAAGATGTTTTGTAACATGCTGTGAAGCGCAACATGGTAATTACAACATCATCCAGCTCCTCACCTGTTTATGCAATATACTTATCATCTCTTTATTGGTGTAGTCTCATACGAACCTGTCCGGCTTGTATCCGATGTTACAAGCGAATCGCTGAAATTCTCCGACTCCGCCGTTGGATGGGGAACGAAATGAGAGATGCTAATCGGAGGGTCGTCCGTCGTCAAATACATCCGAGGGTCAGTATGGAAATCGAGGAGCGGGAGTTGCGGGATGCTCCCCGCAAAAGTTTCTCCCTCAGCAAACTATCTTGCAGGAGCATCAGAGAGCAATCATACAAGGCAACAAGTAGGCAGTACATTCTGCTGTGTGCGCAGGAGCTTTCTAGCGAACATCTGGGAGTGTCACCAAACCAAAGCTAAGTGCGAGACAATTCCACACATAGCATACCACGTAGAAATGGCTTCGTTCCGGCAATGAGTCTAAATTCCGCGTTTTTACCGTGAGGCGAACCGTACGAAGGGCCGGGCCATCGTTATGGAATATAGGTCTGGGCCTGGGCAAGGGAAAATAGGTCAGAGCAGTCAGCCGGCCATCAAGCGGGTCCAGGCAGGCAGTCGGCCAGCGCAGGAGAGACGAGCGAGCTCGCTGAAGAAGCTAGCGCGGCGAGAAGTGAGCGCGAGAGGAAACTGGGCGTTCAAGCGCACGAGCTCGGAGGAGAAGTTCAGGAACTTCAGCCTCCAGGTGCGACCGTTGAGGCGCCTCGCAGTGAGGACCTCCGCCTTCATGCGCGAGCTTCACCTCGTGTCAACCCTAAATACGTTCGCACGTGGACGCGAGTTCCCTCTGCGCCCGTGTTGATGCGTGGCGGTTGCCCCTGCTCTCAGTACCCATCCCCACTTTGACATGCCGTTGTTCGTTCGTGCAACTTCGTCCGCACGAACCTCCTTTCTGTAGAGTCCCTCCTGCCTTACCATCCGCTCGGCGAGCAGTGCGCGCGGATTGAATGAGTTTTGTGAGTCGACCGTGCGATGCCGTGGGTGCGCGTGCAGGGAGAATACGACACGTTCGACGCCAAGGCGGCGCAGGTGGAGCGGCTGTCGTTTCTGAAGCGGCGATCGCGGATCGTGGAGATCGTGGCGGCCAAGGATCTGCTCTTCACGCTCGCGCACTCCGGAGCATGCGCTGCCATCTGCTTAGGTTCGCCTACCTATCCTTGGTTTCCATGTTCCGTTTTCCTTTTGCTCAAGCGCGTTCCGTGTCAGTCGACTCAGCCTATTCTGCTGCTGTGCCTCGTTTCTGCTGTGCGTGATTGCGGTGGCGGCAGAGTCGCGGCGGCGGCTGTGCTACATGAACGTGGGGTCGGAGGAGGTGATTCGGAGCCTCTTCTTCAACAAGAACAACGAATCGCTCATCACCGTCTCCGTCTACGCGCAGGACAACTTCAGCTCGCTCAAATGCAGAAGTACCCCGCTCGAGTGCGCCCCTGACTTTCCTCCCAATCCTTGTGTCCGTGTCTGCTTCCCCGCTAGCCTCCTCTGGCTCCGTTTTCCTTCATCCCCTTCCTCATGTTCTCTCTCCGCCTTTTGGAGAGGCGTCTTTTGAACTATCGCTTTATTCCGCTGCGTCGTTCGCCTGTCACCGCTTCTCCCTCCCCCACTCTGCGCCCCCCCTGCTCTGCTCCTTCTGCCGCCCATCCAATTCTCACGTGCGCGGAAGTCACAAGGCCCTGCCCGTGTGTGGTGTGGTCCGCTCCACGTGGTGTGTGCGCGGTGCTGCGCGTGCCCTGCAGGTACATCCGGAGGGGGCGGCCCAGCGAGGGCTTTGCGCTGTTTGAGTCGGAGTCGCTGCGCTGGCCGGGCTTTGTGGAGTTTGATGACGTCAACGGCAAGGTCCTCACCTACTCCGCTGATAACGGGTATGCTGCTCCCCTCCCCCCTGTGCTGCACATGCGCTCATGCGCTCACTGCAAGCTGGCTTTGGTACTCATGTGCTTGCCCATCTGCACAGCCGCAACCACGTAGCTGCCACTTGCTTTGCACTGTCTGTCCTTGCTGTGCCTCATGGTTGCATGCTCAGAACAGCCGTTAACTTGTGTGAAATCGTTTGAGTGCGTGTGGATGCGTATGTTTTGTGCGGGGTGCAGCATGTACAAGGTGTTTGATCTGCGCAACTACACTCTCCTCTACAGCGTGCCTGACAGCAACATTCAGGAAATAAAAATCAGGTCAGGATCAGACCTGTGCCAAGTTCAAAAGAGCCTCCATCCTATGTGCCTGTTGTGCTTTCAGTCCGTATAGCATTCACCACTTTTGGGTTGTCTCCACCCATCCTGCCCACCTGCCATCCCCTTTCTGCCATCCACCATCCACTGCCTGCCATGCACCGTGCGCGGTGCAGTCCGGGCATCATGCTGCTGATCTACAACCGCGCGGAGGGGCACGTGCCGCTCAAGATCCTGTCGATAGAGGACGGGGCGGTGCTGGCGTCGTTTGTGCAGCTGCTGCAGCGCGGCAAGAAGGTGGACTTCATCGAGCAGTTCAACGAGAAGCTGCTCGTCAAGCAGGAGAACGACAACCTCCACATCCTCGACGTCCGTGCTCCTCTCCCTTCCTCTTCCGCTCCCTGCCAACCCCTATCCTTGCCCATTGCTCTTTGCTGCCTTTGCTGCTGTGCGCCTGCTTGTAACCCGTGCGGTGAATCGTTCGCATGGATTTGGTCCCTCATGCCCCTATCTACCCTGCCATCTGTCTGAACACAACATCATCGCTGCACTGTAACCCCCCTCCGTGCGGTGGTGGGCAGGTGCGCACGCGGGAGGAGACGCAAGTGAGCCGCACGGAGTTCATGACGCCCTCGGCGTTCATCTTCCTGTACGAGAACCAGCTCTTCCTCACCTTCCGCAACCGTGCCGTCGCCGTGTGGAACTTCCGCGGGGAGATGGTGACGGCGTTTGAGGACCACGAGCTGTGGTACCCCGACTGCAACACCAACAACATCTACATCACCTCCGACCAGGACCTCATCATCTCCTACTGCAAGCACCACCACCCCTCCCACGCCCCCCACGGTCAGTCCACACCACCTCCCCGTGCCTGTCTCTCATTCTACCGTAATGCCCTCTGTTTACTGTAAGCTCTTCATGGGCTGTCTATCCACCTCATCCTCCTTGCCCGCCTCTCTGCCACCCTGCATCATGCCTCTTGTATGCAGTGGGCAGCATCAACATCAGCAACATCCTCACGGGAAAACTTCTGGCTAAAATATCATCGGATTCAGAGTCGGCTCAAGCCAAATCAAAGTCCGTCCACTCGACCGTAAAGGAGGCACTGGAAGACGTTACAGCACTGTTTTATGATGAAGATAGGAATGAGATCTACACAGGAAATAGAAGTGGCTTTGTACATGTCTGGACAAACTAAACAAGCTGGATGGAGGCTAGCTATGATGAGGGCAAATGTGTTGCATGGTATGTACCCAGTCGCTAAACCAACCAACCAACCAAAACAGACAGCAAGAAAGCCAGATTCCATCATTTTAGGGCTCTGGGGTACGCAACAGACTCTGCCCAAGCCAGATAATCCTCACTGGATACCAGTACGAATAGTCGGTCTTGCTCTTTGCAAGGCAGACCGCAACTCTCAGAACTCTTCGCCGCTTCCCAAGAATGGCAGGGTCGTACTCTCTACCTACGGCGTATGCTAATGCACTGGTGGCAGGCAGTCCAAGGCTATGTGTGCCTGGCTCTCAGTATGCCTTGGCTGCAGCAGCAGGCAGGCTATGCCCGGGCGGTGGTTATGGCTTGGCTCTGGAAGCATTAGTGGCACGTATTCTGTCCCGGTTGTCCACCTTCACCACGCGCTCCAACTGCTCCTCTCACAGCACACACATTCCACACACACATGAAGACACCACACACGCCACACACATACCACACACACCACAGACACGAACACACACAAACACACTCGAACACACACGAACACACACGAACATACACAGCACACACAGCACAACCACAGGAGCCAGATTAAGAAGCATGCCATGCATAGGGTACGTGAACATATACTGCATGTACCTACTTGACCATCTACCAACGCCATGCCGCACCTACGCCATGCCCACGCCTCACCTCCGCCATGCCCATGCCTCACCTCCGCCATGCCCATGTCCTCAATTCTCTTCCTCTTGAGCTCGCTCAGCGGCGCCTGGCGGTCCAGCAGCGTCCACAGCCACTCGGGGTACTCACTGCACGCACGCACGCACGCACGCACGCATGCACACACCCATGGAAGGACGCACACACCCGAAGAGGGACGCACACTGATACACCGTGTGCAATCAATCCGCTTCCGATGGCATC